AATGGTGGCATGGAACGATGGTATCTGCAGAGATCTCATTATCTCATGACATTTGCTTGATGGCATATTAAGATCAGCTGTTTTAAATCCAGCATTAGGAAAGTGAAATTCATCTTCTAACCTACCTGAACTAATATAGTAGATAAAAGAGGTGCTGACTGCTCTTTACGAACAGTTTGAATCACCAAAAAGCCACACCAATTTCTGTTAAAAAAATAAAAATAAAATTATATATATATATATATATATATATGTATAAGATCTGTCATTAATTTTATTTTTTCTTTATTTTATTTTTTTAAACTAAGAGCGTTCTCATTCCTGAAACTGCATACCTGCTTGGGAAGGCCAAAGGTCCCTTTTTTTTCCCCTCATCCAGATCCTTCAGTGGGGAAATGCACACTTCCTACCAGACTGCTCTGATCATTAAACAGCACAGTGCAGCTCACAGGGTATCTGCTCCACAGCATACATGCACACCGGCTAAGGAATGAATAAAAAAAAAAGCTGACTGTCACTTTATCTGGGAAAAGGTACAGCTGCAGCAGCTTGAAAACAGAAAACAGACACTGCTAGCATCTCCACTCAAATCTGAGTAAGAAGATTTATAATGAAAGACTGAGCACTTCGATGGAAGAGCAAACAGACTGCAAAACTCTCCTCTAGGTGCAATGGGAAGGCAGAGATGACATGCAGTTAGGGTATCAGAGTTTCACAAGTTTAACTGTGAAATAACTAAGCATTCTTTTTCTCCAATCTAAGTTAACTACTCTTCTCATGTGATGTTCATTAAGGTACTTATTCACCTAGTTTTCTAGTGCTCCTCAAGCCTGTGTGTCTCAGACAGCACCAGGTAATGACTTCTGATCAACACCTCATTACTTGACTGCTTTTCTTGAAGCATTTTCCTAGAAGCCAAACGGGTTGGCAGCACAGCAAGCAACAGAAGCTGACCTCCCTCTGACAAACTGAAGCTGTTTAAGGCTCCTACAGGTTAGCTCAGTATAAATGTGTTAAGTGACAGCTATTTATTTGTGCTCCGAAAGCAATCACCTGCAGCACTTCCATACACAAACTCAGCTGTAAAAGAAGCATGCTTCCCAGTAACCATGTCAAAGCACACCTGGAGTGCCACCAGGAAACACAAGCAGTACCAGAGGAACTGCTGCACACACCTCCATACTCCCTGATTTCACTGCAGAAAGCAAGTGGAAGCACAACTTCAAGGAACAGGTACCAAATGAAGCCACTTGCTTTTATGCTGATGGTCACTTGTAATAAATAACCTCATCCATCTCCTTATAAACACGATGAACAAAAAAGGGCACGATCTGTAAAGCATGTAAGATTTCAACAATAGACAGGAAGGCCAAAAGCAGAGCATTCCTGAAGCCCGCAACTAACATCCATGTGTTTATGTTCACATACGCAGCACAAAGCCCCTCTACAGCAATATTATAAAGCAACCATAAATTCATCTACTAAACAGAAATCAGGAGAACTCTTTGAGCATAAGGATGCACAAACTGAAATGCAAATGCAGGATGGGTGCACAACTTCCTTAATGTGCCATAAAATTAATGATCCCTTCTGGTCTATATGCACGTATTTTCAAGTGCTTCTGATTGAACTCTTTCTATTCATGTATCAGCAAAAATGTTCACTGTGTTACTCTACATCAGCAGAAGCATCCAAACAAGGAGTGACTTGAGTAAAATAAATGCTTCTATCTTCAGAGGAGCAGTGAGCTGCTTCAGCAGCACTGCAAGCCAGGTGACGAACCCTAGTTTCCAGTGCTACAATGAAACTGAATTACCAAAGGGATGGAGAGAATATAAACAAAGAGAAAGCAACAAAAAAGAAATGCATTCAAATTTACTTTAAAAATACTCAAAATTGAGCATTAAGTGTACAATCAGTAAAAGAGCATCCTGAGGCAACCACACAGAAACCGAGCATGAAATTCACTTCCCATCCACACTGTCAGCATTATAATAACCTGAAGCCATGTCCTTACTTTGCCTTTCAGCACTTCCTCCCCCCCAGACACCCTCAGCTCTGCCATGCAGCATCAAACTCCGCTGTAGTGAGCAACGCTCAAACCAGAACTTCGAGGTGAGTGCTCAGGTACCAGGCAATCCAGTTACTATAAATTGCCACCATTATTACTCCTATCAACTGCCACCATTTCCAAACAAATCCAGCAAAGTTAAATTCACTTCTGAAAGACTTCAGGCTGAATGTGTGTCTCATTAAGAAGGATTCTTCTGCCAGAAGATGTTAGAATGCTCTTCATTACCACGCATTCAGTCAAAAAACAGATAGCTAGGCAGTAAGAAATAACACAAGGACTTCTCTGCTCTGCAACTTTCCCCGCTTCTAGTTGGAAGGATTCGTGAGATACATTTCTTACCAGCAGAAAAGCACTACAAAATGCTCACACAGTACCTGAAACTCACAAAAGGACAGCTTCCTACTTCTGCTTAATTATGAGCTCCCTCTTACACGAGATTAGAGAACCCTCACGCTTTCCTACACAGGTTTAATTCAGGATAAATGATAAACACTCAATAACACAAACATACTACACACCAGAAGCCTAATCCCTTCACAGCTAGAACCTCCACGTGAGCGAGAAGAGCTGCTGATTTGTAAAACGCTTCGAGCGCTCATAAATCTTTAAGATACTTACATGGAAATCATTCTGGGATTTTCATCAAGATCAGATCAAAACAAAAGTCCAATAACGATGCTCACACCCACACTCCAGATGTGAGAACCAGCGGTGTGCTCCAGCACCCTGCCTGCAACCACAGTGACTCCACACTGCTTTAATTTGTTATCCAAATAAACTTCAGAAAGAGTTTTAGAAATGAGTGATAACAATGAATCACCGCCAACTTTAAGCTGGCATACCAAATAATAGTACTACTTTAAAGATAATCAGAATGAAATCACACACAAAAAAATTAAAAGATGTGAACCGGAGGGCTTTCTTCAATGCAAAAAACTCAATCATGAACAGAGCAAGTCATACACCTCTACTAGAGCAACAGGGCTGTAAGAGACAAGGCAGATACATCAAGCAGCTTTAGGTCTTGAAAATTTGTAAATACAGTTATAGTCAATTGAGGCAGCCCTCAGCTCTGAGATCATTGAGCCGTGTGTGTGAGTGAACACCAGCCGCCCAACAGCTCTCATGGGTGCAGTCCCAGCAGAGGGCTGAGCATACAAAAAAGAATCATAGAACGGCCTGGGTTGCAAAGGACCACAGTGCTCATCCAGTTCCAACCCCCTGCTGTGTGCAGGTCACCAACCAGCAGACCAGGCTGCCCAGAGCCACATCCAGCCTGGCCTTGAATGCCTGCAGAGATGGGGCATCCACAGCCTGCTTGGGCAACCTGTTCCAGTGCATCACCACCCTGTGTGTGGAAACCTTCCCCCTAATATCCAACCTAAACCTCTCCTACCTCAATTTAAAACCATTCCCCAAGACCCCTAAGTAATGGAGACGTCAGAAGAGAACAAATGAACAGCTCTCTTCCCCCAAAACTCCCTATGAATAACAGCAATATTTCTATTAAAAAAAAAAAAAAGCTGTCTGAAGTGAACTTCTCATATATTTAACTACAGCCATCTATACCTGGAAAAGCCTTACATGCCACTAACACAGAAATCTACAGAGAACTGTATGTGCAGCACTGGGTTGAGATCCACCCCACAAACAGAGCAGTCAGCACACAGCAATACCCCAAACTCTCCATCAATGGCACAGCTGAACACCGAGCCCTGATAATGTATCTCACACTGCACCTCTCTGCTGCTTCTCTGACTGCTTCATATCGAGAGTCCTGCAGAACATAACCCCACAGCCACGCTTCAGGGCAGGAATAGAACCACAGAACGGCCCAGGCTGGAAAGGACCTAAAGATCATGAAGCTCCAACCCCACCCACTGGCAGGGCCACCAATCTCCACATTTCATAGCAGCCCAGGCTGCCCAGAGCCCCATCCAACCTGGCCTTGAACACCTCCAGGGATGGACGGGGCATCACAGCCTCTCTGGGCAGCTGTTCCAGCACCTCATTGCTCTCATAGGAAAGAACTTCCCCCTGAAATCCAGCCTAAATCTTCCATAACCCCCATTCCTACAGCCTGGCGGAATTTAGCACACCTCTCCTTACAAAAAAGACACAACGCTTTAGGATCAACCCAAACTAAAATCCATACAGCAGCAACCAACCCAAACCTCATCCTCACTTCGGCAGCCCACGGGCAGCCGGGCAGCCGAAGGGCGAGCAAGCAAACACCGTTTAATCAAAAACAACGCGGTCATTTCGAACGAACCACGTCTGACACGGACCGGAGGCAGCAGCCGGGCTGCGAGAAGCTCCGCGCCGCCAGCACCGCTCCGCTGCTCCCCGTCCCGCGCCTCCACACAGCGCCGCGCAGATGCCGGCGGCGAGGCGCGGAGCACAGCTGCGGGACAGACAGCTGCCGCTTGTCACCGAAAACACCCAGCAGAGCGAACTGAAGCTTCTCTTTACCCGACTTAACGGCACGCTTGGCTTGAAAAGCCCCGGCGCTGACGAGCCCGCAGCCGACCGCACGGCAGCGGCACGCCGCCGCCTGTCACACGCGCCGCCTGACCCGCAACCCGCGCCTAAGAGAAGCGGCTGAAGCGCGCTACGCCGGCTGCGCCCGCTCGCTCATTCAGAGACGCGCCTTGCGCCTTCCTCCTTCTTACGCTAGCGTAAAGGCCTCCCCCCGCTAATCAAAACACTCGCGAGTCGGGACGCAAAGAAGATGGCGGAGCAGGGCCCGCTTACGGCGTCGGACAGCAGTTTACGCTGCGCTCTTTGCGCAGCGCCCAGTCAAACCCGTGCAGCGCCGCGGCGGGGAGCGTGCGTAGTGCGCTTGGTGAATGCCGATGGCCTATTTCCCGTGAGGGGAGGGGGGTGTCTGATAAACAATGGTGCCCCCCCTGCGCGGCTCCCTTACCGATTCCTCCTCTTTCTCCATCCCCGTGGGCATCTGCGGCACAGCCCGGTTGATGGAGACGCAGTCGTTGAGGTCGGGCATGTCCTTGCCGCGGTAGATGGGCAGCGGTTTGGCGGCGTCTAGCGCCCGGGCTCGGAAGGAGAGTTTGCTCATTGTCTCCCCCTCACAATAACACCCCGGGGCCGGGCGGGCGGGGGGGCCCTCAGTGCGGCCGCGCCGCCGCCTCCCAGCCGCTCCCGCACCCGGCCCGCACCACCATGGAGGGTCCCGCCGCCCCGGAACAGCTCTCCGCGGGGCCGCCCGTAGCTCACAGCGCACGCCCCGCAGCCCTAGATCCGCGCCGGGCTCGCACGATCCTCCCCCTGCACCACGGCGAACAGGGCGGACATTAACCAAAGCGGCCAGCGATCCCGGCAGCCACCGCGAGAGTCGGGGGGGGGGGGGGGGGAGGGAGGGGGGGGCGGGGGGAGGGAGGCGGGAGGAGGGAGGAGGCGGTGGCCGCACTGCGCGCGCAGCCAGAGGCGGTGCTGAGGAGAGCCGAGGAGGAATAGGGCGGGTGGATGCTTCGGTTCTCCGTGCTTCAGTCAGCCCGGGGGCTCCGCTCTTCTCCAGGTGGGCTTTCGGCTCACCGATCGGCCCGAAGGAGCGGGTAGCGCTGAGACAGCGGGAAGGCGGCCCGCCCAGTCAGTGTCAGTCAGTCAGTCAGTCAGTCACCGTGCCCCTCAGCAGCTCTACTTCACAGTGAAGGACTGCAGGGAGTTTTGCAGGTGCCGCATTTTTACCTTTAAAGGTGTTTTGTTTCGGTTTTAACTTAACAAATGGGAAAACTGGGACGATCACATGCTGCCTAGGCTGTGATTTCTTGGGGTCAGACCAGTGAGTGACACTCGTCAGGATTTGCATTAGCAAAAGCTGCTGGTAGTGAGCCTGAGCGTGCTCCTTCCTTGTACTTTGGGATTAAAACACATTTCTAAATACAGTTAGGCTAACAAAAGTTAGCAGTGGAGGTTCAGGATGGATATCAGGGACAGGCTGTGGGCAGGACACAGCTCCCAGGGCAGCCAGAGCTCAGGGAGAGCTGGGACACCAACCTCAGCCATAGGGATTGACTGATGCTCTGTGGGAACGGGGTTGGACTCGCTGGTCCTCGTGGGTCCCTTCCAACTCGGGATGTTCTATGATTAAATTAAACTGCCTGCAGCTCCCTGCCCTCAGAGCTCTCACATGCTGTGCAGAAGGAGAAGGGGTAAAAGCCATACACTCCAGTTAATATTACAGACAAACATTTCAGAAACAAACTCGTGCCCGTTCAAAAATATTCCTTCAAGGATTTCATGTAGTACTCTCTGCATGGATTTAATCTTGAAGAGGTGCGGAAGTTCCACATGCTGCAAATTACAGAGTTTCTTGTTTTGTGTTGTCTGCATGTCCAGAGCAGTGTGTTCGCTTGTGCTCTTCTGCTGTAAAAATGCCTTGCTCCTGTTTGTTTTCTCCCTCTTTCAAAATACACAAACAGGAACAGCTAAACAGGAACAAGGCATCCAAATTTTTGAAGAGTGTCCTCAACATGGAGAGACTAAGCCCAAGTCCCCATACAGACAAAGCCACAGTCCTCCGGTGTCCCAGATCTTCTCACATCTACCCAATATATTGCTTTATCATAGAGTCATAGAATCATAGACTGGCCTGGGTTGTGGAGGACCACAATGCTCCCCCAGTTCCAACCCCCTGCTGTGTGCAGGTCGCCAACCAGCAGACCAGGTTGCCCAGAGCCACATCCAGCCTGGCCTTGAATGCCTGCAGGGATGGGGCATCCACAGCCTCCTTGGGCAACCTGTAACAGTGCCTCACCACCCTCTGTGTGAAAAAATCTGCAAAGCCCGTCACATTTCCAATACATCATCACTTCCATATTATATTGACATCATAAATATTGATATCTTGAGATCAGATGGGCTGCTTTTTCTTCTTTCCACCTTAGAACTCTTGCAGGGGTTGTCACTGCAATATGCTGGCCCCGGAATAAACTGACACTGTTAGGCTGATAAGCTTTGACCATGTCACACTTTGGAGTACAGTGTTGACTGTATCTAAGATTCTATTCCATTTTTCTTTTTTAGAAGAAAAACAAAAAACAAACACAAAAGATTGTCCAAACAAGTTTAGTCTCTGAAGTGCAGTTGATTTTTGGTTACCTTATGCATTTGTTATCTGTGTGGTTTTATATAGAAAGTGTATACTGTTCTTGATAAACGTGTGATTTACAAAATGAAGAATAATGAATTCTGTCAGCTAGAGAGAGATAAGGAAGATGGAACAAATGCACTAACTCACAAGAAGAGGAAAAAAAAGCAGAAATAACTTTGTGCTTATGTCACATAGATCAGAATTATCTTGGGAAAGAAATCTGAAAATTATGTTAGATACTCCTATGAAGGCATCAGGTTAATGTTCAGTTATGTAGTACAAATATGAACAAATGAAATTTTAAATTGATGAGGAAAGGAACAGAGAAGAGAGCTGTGATAGTGCATCCCAGTCTAGTAAGTCTTACTTATAATTCCCTTAAACATTTTTGTGTTCACAGACAATTCTTGACTTGCATTGGAATTAACACCCTTTTACACAGAAGCACATCGTAAAGCAGTTCAGAACTCAACACCAGTCTTGCTTGTAGTAGCCCAAACTTTGTGTGAGATGCATTCAGCAATCTTCCCCTTTACAGGAATGTTTAACATTTCTGTAGTTTTTAGCTCAGTAGTTATAGGAAGCAGCCAGACTTCGAACACTTGACGTTGGTTTGCTATCACCAAAGTGATTCACAAGTGGTTGGTAGAGGCAGATGGTTGCCATTTTCCAAAGAGTAATTGCAGTGCACTTGTGCAACAGCTTTAGTTTTTCAGTCTTACTGTGCAACAACAATCAGGAGATTGTAAGTGAAATTAATCCTGAGCTGGAAACAGCACTTTTGTGCATCTTCCTTAGAACAATCAGAGCCCAACAGCTGCGTCTGAGAAACTGAAAGCTGTCATAAGGATAGTGATATTAACTCTTTCATCTAAATGAAGGTGGTAGCAAAGAGAGCTCTGTAGCTCTTGGAAGCTCAGAAGCTAGGTTAGCATTTTGATGATGATCTAATTAAAGAATGAAAATACTGTGACTGTGCCCACACCGGGCAACTGTCTGAAGTTGTCTTAATTATCAGCTGCTAAACTGAGTGTTTAAAGCAAAGGATGAACTGCATTCGACCTCACCTGCCAGGACCCAGCTTCACAAGTTAAAACAGGTAGTTAAAATTGCACTCAAATGTGAACTTCCCCTACACAGTTGACAAACTAAAAGGGGGATGAATTCCGCTTTAAGAAAATGAAGTGCATTTTCAGCTCATGGTTCCTGAGTTTTCTGTATTATGTGGGTTCTCTTACAGCCCTGCTGTAGAGATAACATGCTTTATAAGGTGAGGTTAGCTTTGTGGAACAGGCAGTTCCTCCTGAAATACTTCTTCAAGAAGTTAAAAGACAAGGACTTTCCTTTTTCTGTGCATTTTGTTCTTTTCCACCGCTTAAACAACAGCAATAACAAAAGAACAGAAATGCAACGTATTTACCCTTAAGGTGGCTCTTAGTTCTGAACTCATCCCATTATTTTATTTCCACAAACAATGCAATTCTTTTAGAACTTTGCCCTGCAGTGTGCTGGAGTTTTTTCATGTAGCTCAAAAAGCCACTGCATATATCTGAACATGCCCAAAACTAAAGTTTCAACTTACATTAATACTTCATGTAGCTTAGCTTTAAGCCAGAACCATACATCTTTTCTGTACATCCTTAGATCTCCTCATCCTGTAAAATATTACAGGTTTTCTGAATAATTTAAGCAATAAAAACTATTGTGAGCAGTACCTGACCTCTAGAAAATTTGCTTTTGATGGCGAAAAAGAGCCCCAAAGAACAACATTTCAAACTTGAGCAGTTGAATTGTGACAATTAATTACAGACACCTGCATAACATTTAGCACCAGGAATGCTTGCTCACAGCATAGCTGCCTGAAGAACTGTAATATCTGGCAGCTTATTTGCAAGTGTTTTCTGCTGCTTTTCATTGATGAAATGTACATCTTGGATCATTAGTGTCACATCAAGCAAAAGCCAAAATTTTGATGTCAAGATTATGGTGACATGAAGAATTGTCAGTGTATGTTATTGAAATGTGATGTCATGAGCATGTAATGATTATTTGTTTTATACGTTGTTTCCTTGTGAGTACCAGATGTTTTTAAAGAAATGTGTGGACTGTATAGAAACACAGATAGCCAGCAGTGGTCAATGGCCTCTGCAAAGGCATGGAGTAGTTCCTTAGAAATGACTGAAGTCTTGAAAGATAATGAGAGTATTAGGATGCTGAAGACTTGACTGTAAATACTCAAAAATAACCCCCAAGATTGGAAATGTACAGAAAATTATCTTTGTGTTCTGCAGCATTCCAGATCCTCACAATGAGGATGTGGAGAAATGCCTGTGACAGCGATACTGATGATCCCATTAACAAATATTTCCAAAGTCACTCATACAGCTATTGTACATTCGGGATTCCTGTCTTGGTAGCAGCAGCAGCAGCAGCCTCATTATAGAGTATTTGGATCTCATGTTTAAGTAAAGCTTCACTGGAAGGGAACCTAAAAGCAGCCAGGAGGCTGGCTTAGTAACTTCAGCACAAGGAAAAGTGCTGAGCTTTCCAGGAGATATATGAATGGACTAGGGGAGTCTTTTTAAAGGTTATGAAGTCCTTCTTTCTCCCTAGGTCTGAGAACTCCTATTGAAATGAAAGAAACCTCTGTCCTATTCATTTCAAAGGGAGTTTTGTCAGGAAAAAGAGCTTGATCAAAGTAGCTACTAAGCATTCTTAGTGGCTAATGTTTGGAGTTCAATGTATCAGCTGTTCCAAACCATTTCTATTTCAAATTATTCAAAGGCTTTAAGGAACTGGCTCCCTGCACGTTTTCCTCTTTAAGATTACCAAAACCTATCAGCCAAAATGTGAAATCTGGTATGGAATAGCTTCTCGGGGCATTTAAAGAGCTGAACAATAATTAGAAAATTAAGTTAAAATCTTCATCCCAACAACGGGCACCATATAAAACTAAATAAAAGGGAAGCTATGGAAATAGCTGATTCCCAAAACT